TTTACATAGCTACAATTGAATTAAGGCTTTATATAACTTTGTAATCAATAAGCTGTAAAGCAATGATTAACCCCTAACTTGTGTTTTTGTTACACGTCTGAATAACTTACCTATAAGTGGAAGCCTTAGTCCTTTTCAAGAAAAAAAAATGTGTCTTCATTAAGTCTGCAGTGAAAAGACCTTGTCCATGAATTTTATAGCGGTTGTAGTGGTAACAAGTCTGAGATAATCTAGAGGCACAGAATTTGCTTGAGTAAGATCAATTGGGGTCTATGACTAGGCAACATTCGAATACAGCAGGTGTCGATTCGTGATCCCTTATCAAATTTACATGGGCTCGGACATGCCAGCGTTTCGCTTTCTTTTGAGCTCGAAACGAACTAATCTGCATTGGTGGAAATTATAAAAAAAATCAGTTAAAACAATCTTAAGCCAGAAATAAAGGATTACTTACTGCCACGTTTGTGCAATTTCCCTCACGTGAGTGCAAATTATCGGGCACACAAGGCATGAAGGAGTATGTGTAACTTTGCTGTTGGCGAAATCCTGACCCATAAATTCTATGTAAAAGCAAAGCAAATTAAAGAGCTCAGCCTTTTATTGAGTGTATATATGGCCATATTGTCATGATCTAAATTGATACCAATTGATTAAGATAAATTCAATCAATCTACAACCCTTCACTAGAGCAGTTCTTTGCCATCCCAAAACTGAAAATATATTTAAGTGCTGGCCCATGACGATTTAAATGAATGTTAAGGTACATTTCGTAAACTGAATGTATTGAGTATTCATAGTTTGAGGAAACATTGCGTAAGTCATTGATGCATTAAGAAAATGGAGCGCAAAATTTTGTCCAAGCAATAGCCATTAGCACTCCTCCTCTAAATTCATTTCTTGTTGACATCTCTCAACTTCAACATACTATTTTGAATGAATAAACCTCAAGCGTTTAAGCTACGACAGCCAGGTGCGGTGAAGATGTACCGTAATACTTTGTTTCCTAATCATTTATATATGAAGACGTATAATGATTGTGTTTTTAGCCCTTACTTATACTTTCTATCGGATAATAAAACCTGTTTAACTCTCTCACATCTCTACATGAATAAGCTCTTTGCTATTTTTAGGTGGTATGAGGATCTCTTTACCTATAACCTTGGCTATAAATTGAAGAAAGAAAGGAAAATTGAATTTTATTAAGTTTTCATATAGCGGTTATTTTAAGTCAATGTCTAATCTTGCTTAAATGGTTATTTAATGAATCACCTTTGTCCTCGAAGAGAAAACAAGCTGTAAGTTGAAAGGCCAGTGCGGATGCATGTACAGTTGTCTGGTGAAGCCTTCCAGCGGTACGCAAAACATGCATGTTTTCCACACATATATGAAATGATAACATGCAGTATCACTGATGTAAATACCAAGGAAGAAGAGTTCATTTTATCCTGAGTACCTAATAACAGCAGTAAGAAAACAATTTCACTACTTTACTCTACCACTGAGTATGAAAGCATCAAAACCTAAAATCCCAAACTCTTATAAAATTTTAACCTAAACAACTTGTTATGAAATGTCACTTCAAAAAAACTTTCCTACAGCAACAGCAACAAACATTTGTACTGTAACTGACTTATACATTAAAGCACGGCAGCGATTTGTACGCTGAAACACATACACTATAGTAGGCAAGATGTGCCTGAAGGAGTAAAAGCAATCGGATGAACAAAGTGAAGTGCAGGACAAACCTGACTAAGATCGCACTCGCATACTGCAATATACTCTTAGTAAACTGCACTGAAGTCGTTTAGGAGGCAATGGAGTAAATATGCACTTTTACGGTTCAGCGATACCATGGTAGCAATCACCGTCTGTTGTTTGCAATATTTGTCTTGGAGTTGCGAAATCGATCGCTTCCAACACAAAAGATTTCCGGGAATCAAGATCCTAGTAACGCAGTGGCTCTTTCCTTCAGTATTCTACACTTGGTAATCTTACGCACCAAAACCAAAATAAGTATCGAAGCTGGCATCGCATTTATATGCATCTTTACACACCTTGCCTCTTTCCCACTCTATTAATGAGAGGTGAATGTTCTCATCAACGCACGTACATGCAATTATCATTTAAAAAATCGTGAACGTTGCTAGTGAAGAAAATTCTTACCTCAGTTCAACTATTGATGCTTGGTGCGCTGTCAAATTCAATCTATAGAGCTTTTTCTTACGTTTAGGATATGTTGATATACTACGCGTTTTTCCAAATGAAGAGTGTCACAGCACAAAGATTATTTTTCCACATTCCCGAGAACAATAATTGACACCGCTGCGATGGAAGGCAGTTTCAGAGGGCTCGCTAAGCTGATCAATTTCGCCTCGACTATGCGAAATTGCAGTTGTCCTACGTGGCTTGGCTAGGACGATCTGCAATTTTTTCTCAAGTTAGATCCTAAGTTGAATGGAGAAAGTAAATGCGTTTTAAACACCCTACAATTTCATGAACGTAATTTGAAACTTTTGTCTCATCGCCGTGATGAAAAGGTCATTGTACACATTTCGAGAAAAACCGGTAGTGGGATTGTGTTAGTGAAATTCGAAATTTTGTAAGTACTGTCAAGAGGCGCAATAACTTTAAATAATTTGAGAAAAAAATTAAAGATTTCTGCGCAAAACATCAAATTTTAGTATCTTACTAACTTTCGTTTATCTGTCGCTTCAGGCGAGGTTTTGCATCTTGCGGTGTAATGTGCCGCAACAAGTACTTGGATTTACTTTAGAAGCTGGAGCCAACATAATGCAAGAGCTAGCTGCAATTCAGAAGATCATCTTGCAAAGGAAGGTTCCTCAATTGGCTTGGATTTCTAAGAATGGCTTCTAATTTAATTGTAGTTGCTTCCGGCTCCAAAACGTTGGCTAATCAAAAATTTTTAAGTCCTTTTTCTGGTTTACCCTGAGGTGGTCGGCAACCTCAGTTCGACAACATCGACATTTTCGGTAAAATTTTATGAGCAAATTCCATTCTTTCAGGCTTGAATAAAGACCTGACATGTATCAGGAATCATATATATTGTCATGGCAAACAAAAGTATAGACCTACCAGAGCATCAGTCTAGCATCGGATCAATCATTAAACTACCCGCAAAATTAAAACAGAAAAAATACTTAGCGCAAGTCAGAATGTCTTTCTGTCAAAAGACATACCGCGATAATTTTAATTTGTCCAGAAGCACTGAGAAACGACGTAATGTGATATACTTGGTAATACTGGGTAATAATTTTATTGATGCTCACTGTACATGTTCTACCATTACATACACCCTCTATAAGAATTAAAGTTACAACTGAAGCAATGAATGACGAGGGTTATATGTTTAAGACTTCATGTGATATCGAACGTAGAATTTTTTTGCGGGAGGAATTTGGCGCACGAATTACTTATGGGCGACCGTCACCACCAAAGGTACAAGGATGTCAAATAGATCAGCAAATACAAAGCTGGTGTATGGATCAGCTGCAGGATAGCATAGCTAATGAAGGAATGGCAAGGCCAGATTATAGACGGTTTAGTTGCCCAGATACCGATATTGATCCACATTGTCACATGGATTAGCTCAATTGCGAATAGCTTAGCATTTGTACACAAACGGTGTAACGTTGCGTCAAATGACTCAGCGTAATGTCGAATGGCACACTGTACACACACAGCGCAGCGTTGCGCGAAATGGGTCAGGGTAATGTCGAATAGCACAGCGTACGCATAAACGGTGTGGCGTTACGTCGAATAGCTTGGCAGAAAATCAGACGCTCTAGCTGAACATTAAATTGCGTAGCATAACATGAGATATTTCGATGTTGTGGGGAATCGTCGAGCTTGCTTGTGGCGTGACTTGAATCTCGCCGAAACCACCAGAAATACAAACCGCAAATGGAAAAGCGATCTGCTGGGGGCATGTTGTAATCGAATGTAAAGATTGGAACCATCACATGGTTTAGTCGTTGTGTTGAAGAGTCTTCACTCCACCTTGCCGTAAAGTAGAGCCAATTCGTAACTTTTTGCCAAGTTTGTCCTCTTTTTTCCCTGACTATGTTGCATTTATTCGTTGTCGTTCATGAAAACGTTCATTGAAATAGCAACGAGACTAAATTCAAGCACGGTTTGCCGGCCTCCCGGTTTACCACAGTTTACAGGCGTCGGTCAGCCTGAATTTTTATAGTAGTAAGTAGTATTATGACGTACATTAAATGTCGATTGTCGAGCTCTCTTTTTTAGCTCATTCATGCTGAAAGCAATGGATAAGGTATTGTGGTGGAGACGATGTTGACGGAAGTTGTATTCCGTGGACGGAAGTTGCATTGTGGGCCGTGAACAGAAGTAGTCTCGCACGCTATCCCTCCCCACTTAGTGAAAGTCAAAATTAATTTCGATGAAGCTAAAACACTCACGTGGAAAGAAATAAAATGTTTGTATGGTGTAATAAAAACAATAACCTTAAATCACATGTCTGAACTTCTAAAAATGCAACTTGAATCGAGAAGCCGAAATGGTCACATCCAGGGGACAGGTAGCGGGTTCATTTCAACACACGCTGTGACCACGATCGGAGGCAGCCATATTGGTTAGCCGCGCATTTGCGTTCGTCTTTAGTTGGTATAAAGTAATCACTGCTCTGTTATTGTGCTTGTCCTCGGGAGTTCTTCAACATACAATCCACATATCAATCATAGCGGCTAAGATAATCTCGCTAATTTTTTTTTCCGAGTGTACACGTCTACCCTCTTCACACGGTTCGCGTTTCACTTTAGATCGTAAACAATCTTTTCGAGATTCGTAATGTGCCCCCACTCAGTTATGTTTATTTACTTTAGGGTATGACTAACAGCCTCAACACAATGTTATTCGGGGCTTTCTTTTTACGTCCACAAGTATTTCCTTTCAAGTTGAAATGCGAGGTTTGTGACGGCAAATTCCCTAAGTATTTCTATGACAGACCGGGGCATACTTGACCGTGATTACAGCGTTTCAGTCAATGTTTCAGCTAGCTTCTACGCTTTACATAAAATAATTCATCGCGTTTCACACCAGATCGTTAACAATCTTTTAGATATTCGCAGTGTGCCTCGACTCAATTTATTTCGAATTCAAAAGATTGTACTGAAGACATCGTTACTAGGTTTAGGGCGTATATGCAGTTCTTTTATCCTTCCAGCGCCTGATCAACTCCTCGTCCTTCAAATGAACTGATTTGAAGTACCTGACAAAGAAACGTTCGCTCGCTGCCACTTTGGAAATCAGTTGTATTCACATTTGTCTCACTTGGTCAGGCAGATGTTTGTAATGCATCGTCACGGCAGAATTATAAACAGTGTTAAATATGTTCGAGAGTGGCTGTGAATGACATTGTAGTGAAATACATGAACTCCAAAAATGGTGCTATTTAAATGCATCGTTGCAAGAATAAAGTGTAAATGGAGGTTTTTTATTGAAACTTGCAGTCTTCCTACCTCTAAACTACTCCGCGTCCTCTAAATAAATTAATTTGATGTATTCGATCAAGCAACTACCGATCGAAGCTATTTTACTTCCAGTTGAATATTCTCTCGCATATCCCTTCTTATTTTTGAGGTCTACAAAGGTGATTTTTGATCAAGGATAGTGCAAAAGGAGGGAAAAACCACCGTCCAGTTCGCATCAAACGCCATTTTTTCTCCTTACATTCGAGGAAAAATTCTGTCTCTTTCCCACCCTTCAGATATATAAACAGAAGACAAGTGCAAGACTATTTGAAAACAGTTAAATTTGTTACGGGAATTAGAATATGATACTTACTTGGATTTCAAAGACGCTCTTTATGGTTCAGAGGGCGATTTGTGGCTGAACGCGGGAAAAATTACGAAGGCTAAACCTTTACCTGGCCTTTTGCTCTTTGCTCGGGTAATAGGGACCCTACACCTAAACAAGGGGTTTGGTTTTGTTACAAAACTAATGATAAAACGTCATTTTTCCAAACAGTTTGGGACTTGTCCCCCACGTCTTCCTCTTGAACTGGCTCGACCAGTTCGTCTTTTACATCAAAATCCTCGTGTTCAACAGCCTTATCTTTGTTTTTGATAAGGTTAGTTGTCTTTGTTTGTTCAAAGTGGTTTCTTTGTTCCTCTACGATCGGTTCATACTCTCCCAGACAATGGCAGCATCTGCGATTCAGGGCATTTCTAAAAGCAAGAATATGCCACCACATACATAGAAAACAAAGCATGATGACGATAACTCCTACAAGAGCCGGTAGCAAAATGTACAGCTTCCAATCAGACAATTTTGAATCTGAAATTAAAAAAAAGGTCTTAATTAACTCAGGTCGAAATTGTTTTTGTTTTCCTTATTAGAGTACTTTCTACTGGATACGTTAACCATGAAGTACCTTCCACGCTTTTGTGGAATGAATTTTCGAGGCGTTAATGCCATAAGGTAAACGTTCATCGGAAGTAGAAAATAAAAGTAATTAAGAAAGCGAAGAAAAATATTCTTCAAATTTATCATTTTTTGATGTATGATAGAGCACACGTGTTCAAATGGTTTTTTCACTGTATCTAAAGCGAACTTAATCGTCAGAAATTTTTTCGATTTCAGAAAAAATACGTACATATTTCCCAAATGATAATTAAAATAGCAATGACAATTCTAATTGGCTTTAGGGTAGTGGCTACAATTGACAAAAAGCTAACCTTGAAGATACTCCCGATTTGAAAGCTGAAGTTTCTTTTCGTTGCATCAAGCAAAGTATCGATGAAATACAGATCAAAAGATACAGTAACATAACCTACCATGAACATTCACCGTACCACTAAAAGCATTCCAGGTCTGAATGAATTGACGGTTTATCATTTACATGGTCTGAATACAGTCTTTCTCGTAGACCCCTGTTGCATGTTTGCCAACATGCAAAATTAGGATCTTGGATTTTATTTTCTAAATGTAAGGACAATGACCCATTCTTTTGATATTGTTGCTTTCCAAACAGTACCCTCCTCTCCCATCCTCCCCTCCCTCCCTCCCTCCCTCCCTCCCTCCCTCCCCCCCTCCCTCCCTCCCTTCCTCCTCCCTCCCCTTTCCACGCACCAAAAAGGAACATTGTACTCCGTTCATGTACAGAGTCCACACTAATCTTGACAATTACCTTCAGGACTGTGTTCCGTTGAATTTGAAGTTGTCGTCGGTATTACCTTCGTTGGGCCTATTGTCGTCGGTAATACCTTCGTTGGGCCTGTTGTCGTCGGTATCACCTTAGTTGGGCCTGTTGGCGCAGGCACAGGCCAACACTGATTTGGACATGCGCATTTGGTTTTTATGGTGAATATCTATGGAGAGGAATAACATGAAACCATTGTTAAAGATTATGGTTAGTGTGACTATATTCCGAAATTGTATATTTTTCTTATTACTTCGTTCTAAAATTTGTTTGTAATTCCTACGAGAGAAATTTTGATACCGGTTCGAACTTCAGCTCCTTATGTAGTAGTCAAATTTTCTATAGTTCAATAGTCGACCAGAACCGTCTAAAAATTAACAGATACTCCCCCTTCCCCCATCCCCTTCCCCAAAGAAACGGTAAAAATACAGAATTGAGGGAGTCACATCCCTTTCCAAAGTATAAATAAACAGAATTAACAAAATAGAACAACAACAACAACAACCAGAAACCAACTATAAAAAGTCATACTAACATAGTTATCTTCATCCTTGGGTTCGAAAACCGGGAATAAAATAGTCTGGTCACAAATAAGCTGTACCGTTGAATGTTTTTTGTCGATTGAGGGTTCGCTGCAATAATATGTACAAAAGTTAAGTACTTTTGATATTTGTTTTTTGCTAATGAATAATTAACTTTTCTTGAAGAATAATTGTCTATCAAATGCCACCTGATCGTTGTATTCAGTAAATAAACCCCTTATTAGCGGGCCTTTGACATAATATGATTCATATAAAATTACAACATAAGAATAGCTTGTATTTGTTTATAAGAAAAACCTACTTTGTTTTATACACCAGCTCAATCTTTCCTTCCTCGCCTAGTGCACATCTGACCCCTGTCTGCACACCAACTTGTAGGTAATCACGCGGTTTTTCTATTTCAGGATATTTACATATCTAAATAAAATTTAACAATCAAAATCAGTTTCCTGTATTTTTAAATTGGAATTTCTGTAAAAGATGTTTAGATGCGAAAGAAAAATCAACAAGGTATACTCAGAAAAAAAGCTTGCAGGACATTAATTTAGCAACGCTGACTTGCTACAATTATCGGAGGCAGGAAGCTATTAAAATAACAGAATAAAAACAATGACAACATAACACTGTAAAATTTTAGAAATGAAAGGCTGTCTGATGAACCTACTCCGATATCATGACATATTTTTCCATGGTCTGGATCATCTTGTCCAAATGTCATAGAGGTGCAAGGATTGTAAGCATACTTCCAACCAGGGTACTTCTTTCCAGGAACATAAAAGCTATTGTCCACACAAAAAATCATCAGGACAGAATTGCAATGGTATTATCAAAAGGAGTGCAGAAGATTTTCCAGGAGGAAAGCTTATACTAACTTCAATGGCATTTGGCATTTGAGTGCATGCCAGGTTGTTTTCATCGTTCTAAATTATCTCTTTTATTGACAACTCAGGTTAATTAAGGCCTGGGTCAAAAATGATTTTCGCCTCCAGTGCCCCCCCAGCAAGGTTCGCGGAATTCGCGTGGACTGCGCGAGTAACTATAGTTACTTGGAATCAAGATCGCGTAGTTCGTGAACGGCATCCGCCATTTTGAAGTGTCGGCTTTGCATTGGTTTTTCCCATCTTCGCTGGTGAATCCGACAATTTAGAGGAAGACATCAAAAGAAGGTAATAACATTTTCTTTGCTATCTTCATTTCCTCAAAAAATGGCATGATATCGCTATCTTAGAGCCAAGAGAGAACCCTTTTGAACCTACCAAGCTTCTAAACACCGCTCTCAACATGTTCATTGACTTCACTGCAAATACAATGCAACATGAATTTATAATATAGCGTTCATTTCTAAAGCTCAATAGCGTTTTACAATGTTTGTAACCTATGCATAGAAAAAAGTACTATGTTTTGTAACAAATGCATAGAAAAAAGTTTCATTGTGGATATACCATTCAATTTTGAAATTAAATTTAGCTTGATAAATCCTCTATCATATCATGATGTGTATACTTAGGGTGTCTATCAAAATTTAGGCTTTTGAATGCTTTGGAAACAATTTCTCCAAGAAGCAGATGAATTTACTTACAAAAGAAATCCCCCAAAGCAGTTGTTATGTAAGTTTAATTGCTTCTGAACACTCGCGTGTCAAAATGGCGGACAATAAGTTGAATACGTGACTGCGAGTTTTCAAAATTCCCACCTCTTAAACAGTTTTAATTTGTCTTTTTTCCAAATTAATAGGAACCTGTAGGATTACTTTCATTGACAGCGGTTGGAACCAGGTAAAGGGCGAAAACCATGATAGAGGAAGCAGCTTCGCAGAGACAAAACTTGATTTAATCTGCCTAGCACATATCTCTTTTTTTTGGCAGCCATTCCAAGTGGGAAAACAATGAAAAACGTCTCAAATATTCATAGCGATAACTGCATTTTGATTTGCCTTGTGTTTAGTGGTGGGAATTTGCTCAAGAAAGCAACTAACGAATTTGGCGCAATTGCCACAATTCAGTCCGAGAGATATGGTAGTGATACACATTTCTGCCAAGTATGAGAAAAATCCCTCGCAAAATAGCTAAGTTATTCTCAATTTTGTGAAAAATATGGGTTAAAGGCAAGGTGACCCAGGCCTTAATTCACCTGAGAAAGAGGGACTTCGCATGATTATTGAGAACCTCTCTTGCTCCCCACTCGTTTGGAACAGAATTAAGGACAGAGCAACTGCTTAGTTAAGGGAGGATCATCAAATGTATGTAACCGAGTATACTGAGAACAATTCATGATAATAAAGGTTTTGTTCCCAAAAGGCAAATCGAGACTTCATGTATCTTAATTGAGCTATTCTCCATGATTATGAGTGACATGATTTGATATTAGCCCTAAATAGAAGGATGAAAATCCCTTTGCAAATATCGTTTGATCGTCACTTAAGAAACAAGATGGAAAGCAGAAGAGAAAACTTAACATACTGTGGTTTTTCTGTTCCTCTGAAGGGCCACAGACTATAAAAGCTACCATCAACTGTCTGACACGTGCAGCTGTTGATTGTTTGAATGCTCTGGGTAATGCATCTGTTCGTGCACGACAGAAAAATCAACCCTAACAGGCATTTGTTCTGCATCTTAGCCTAAAGAAGGAAGAGAATATACAAAGACAACATGAATAGCATTACGTTATGTAAGTAACCTAAATTTCGTGTATGAAGCTGAAATCAAGTAGATTTATATTTGACATAGCTTGTCGCTGAAGGAATGGAGCTACATATTTCGAGAGCTCGATTGCTTGGAAGTTTTAGGACCATGCCAGCTCAGGGCTACGCTTTCTTATCAATCTAACATTTCTCAGTCATTCTGAATATGTTCTTTTCGACTTGCGATCGATGAAGGCCAGTTGAATCATCCCCATTGTGGCCTAGTTGAATTAGTAGCTTAATTGAGCATTGCTTGTAAAATGTTTATCAACGAAGGTGAATTTCAGAGAAAAATTAGGCTGTAAACATTGGCCTGAGCACGTCAATAAAAAGCTAACGCTTGGTTTTCGTTCATAAAATCTACGCGAATTGATCAATTTTATATCTTGTTTTTTTTCCTCTACTTGTGCCAAATTGAGTTATATAGACATTGAATTTCGTTGGCAGACGGAAATTCCAACTTGCAATACATTCACTTCACTTTTACCGACGTGATTTCAGAAAATGCACGGTACATTGCACAAACGAATATTATTCAATAATACTGGATGATAGAATCGTAAATACCTTAGGTGTTATGGTAGGTTTTTGTCAAGTAGAAATAGATATCTATCCCCTTTTCACGAAACACAGCTTTTTCTTAGGAGAAAAATTCTGATTCTTCTTTTGGTTGGCTCCTGATCCGAAGTTGGAAGACCTTCGTATAGCCAGATGCAAGTTTTTGGATTAGTCATCACATGATCAACTTCCGCTCACCCAAAGTTTATGCTTAACTAGACATCACAAGACCGGAATTAGAATACTGAAGTCTATTTCAATTGTAATGATAATTCAAAGTGAAATAACACCCATCTTAACAATGCACAAGTTTACCTCAACAAATCTTTCTTTTCGGTGATAGTAAGCGGCAAACCAAGTGTTGGTAAGATAATTATATTTGATACTTGGTAGACTTTTTAAAAGACCTTAATTCGTAAATGGAAACGCTACAGACTTTATTAATTCTAATTAAGGAAGGCGAAAATGCGTCACAATATAAAACTTGGTTGTGGGCCCGGCGAAATCACCTTTAAAACAGAAAATCGAGAAACATTTTGATGTATTGACGATTAAAGGGTAATTCTAGCGAGAACGCAGAACAATGATGCTTTTATAAAGACAAAAGTGTTGAGTCGCATAAGATATACAAAGCGAAAGTACAATGTCAATTATCGATGCCTCTAGAATCCAGTGACACCAAGCTTCTGATTGCATTTTTGACCCTTAAATCCTGCTTACCGTCTGTGTCAAGTTCAATTTTTAAGTAAAAAAAACCAGACTATCAAAGTACTTGACGATGGATATTTCTCTTAGAGATGGTTAGTAGCAAACGTCACTAACCTTTCTCGTTGCGCTGTCAAATCATCTTGTTATCAAGTAGTGACTATAACTGGTGTATTCTTCGCAATCAACCACTTTTGATATTTGGCTTGCGGAAAAAAATCTTATTCTTTGATCTCTCCCAGAAATAACCTTATTAAATGATTTTTATATTCTGATATCATTCCGGGAAATAAACCGTTGACTGAAGCATGGGTCGTCCTGCGAGAAAAGATCCGGAATTTCCCAGAATAAATATTGACCTCATTTGCAGTGACAACGAGCGTGACAACTTCTGGGAGCAGGATTAAGGAAATTCCCGGAAATTGCAATTGTTTGTGGCGACCTCGTAGAGCCAGGATTCACTTCGAAGTAAGATATTGATACATAAGAACTTAGTTAATAGCCTCTTCTTCGCGTGATTTCTCTGCAGCTAAAAGATCTGGCATCGGACTTCTAGCGGGATTAGATTTTCCCTCTGTGTCGTGTTCCTGAGAGATAATCTAACTCACTAGTTCTCTAGTTCCATTGAAATGTTCTAGACTGCTACATTTTTTACCTACAACGCGAAAAAGTCGATATTGGTTTAAAATACGAGGTTAGGCCTTTGCAATCTGTAAAAAACAAATGTGCAAGGAATGGGTTGACATCCAAGGGATATTGAAACTTTTAATTTCATAGAAATGACCTAAAATGAGGGAAGCCCATACATACATACATACATACATACTTTATTTATTCCAGAAGCAGATGATAACTATTATATACAAATAAAACTAAAAAGAAAATACTTCTAGAAAAGGAAGTTAAGAGGTTATCCCTGTGTAAAAACTCCCTTAAAAGAAAAGACAAAATATAAATCAAAATCATTACAATCAAATATTTAAGTACGATTTAAGTTTAGATTTAAAATGCTGAAAGCTGTCAGCTTCCACTATATCACCCGGTAACTCGTTCCATAATTTGACAATCCTAATAAAAAAAGAATTTTTGTAACAATTAAGTCTAGCTGGTTTAATATAGAGTTTGTATTGATGATTTGCTCTCGTAGACCGAATCGTGGCAATATCAAAGAAGTCTTCAAAATTTAAATGATAAAAACCAAAAACTATCTTATAACATTCGACTAAAGATAAGTAAGTTCTACGGTCAGAGAGAGGGCCATTTTAACAGTTTGCATCGGTCTTCATAGGACATTTCTCCTTTGCGTTGATTTAAAGCGAGTCTTGAGGCTCTTCGCTGTACATTTTCAAGGGCATGGATGTCCTTAACAAGGTAAGGACACCAAACAGGTACCGCATATTCCAAGATTGGCCGTACCAGAGACATGTACAGCATAGAAAAACATTTGTGTTAGCGGTGCCTACTGAGCGTTTAATGGAACCTAAAACTTTGTTCGCTTTATTGACAGTGATACTTATGTGATGGCCCCATGAAAGATCTCTAGTTAGTGTGACACCGAGATCTTTAAAATTAGTCACGTCTTTCAGGGGCTTTTCTAAGAAATAATTAGTTACCGACTTATCGCGTAAATGCGTGATTCGCATAGATTCGCATTTGTCTGCGTTGAAACGTAGCTGCCACTTACGAGCCCATGCGCTAAGATTATTAAGATCATCCTGAAGAAGCTGACTATCTTTTATAGGGTCAATTATCTCTCTGTAGATCTTCGTGTCGTCTGCATATAATTTTACTGTAGATGATAAGAATTCAGATATGTCATTAATATACAATAAAAACAATAGGGGCCCGAGAATGGTTCCCTGTGGAGTTCCGGAGGTAACGCACGACCAATCAGAATAAGATCCCCTAACGACTACACGTTGTTTGCGCCCCACCAAAAAATGTCTCAGCCAGTTGAGTATATCTTGAATCTCAAATTATCTTATGATGGGTTAAAATAAAAATAAAAAGCCCTCACATGCAATGAGGATTATACATTCGGATAAATGGTTGAATCAGTAGAAAGATACATGTTTAGGCACATCTTCGATTCCCTATGGGAAATATTTGAATCTCTATGAAATAGCTTTAGACCGAGTACTTAACTTTGCACGAAGAAGCCAAAACCTTTCTCGAATAATAACTATGCATCAGAAATGATGCTATTTGCGAAAAATGAGTTTGTTATTCTACTCAGGCGATGGAGTCATTCGACGAGAAGTTTCGCAATCGTCCACTTATTGCGCAAGTATAAACAATTTGACATTTGGGTTAATTCTGAGAATTATGTTGTTAGTCACGAGACTACAAACCTCCTATTGAGTATTTTTAAGTGGAGGGATTTTGCTTTTATTATTTTTTCGAATAACCGCAGTTCTAAGAATGGGCAACCACAGAGAGGAGTTTTATCTAGTGCGCGTTTATTTGCTTGTTTCTGAAAGTATGAATGGCAAATGGAATTTTTCTAAACTTAATTTTGAAGTCTTCCAACGCCTAAACGACTCCCCGTCCTTCAAATAAACTGATCTGATGCATTCGATCAAGCAACTAGCGATCGTGACGACTGTTGTCATCCCCTTTGAATATTCTCTCGCACATCCCTTTTTGTTTTTTGATAAGTTTAGTTGTCTCTGTCTTTTCAAAATCGTTTTTGTTTGCCATAAGGTAAACAAATTGAGTTATATAGACATTGAATTTCGTTGTCAGACGAAACTTCCAACTGGCTATAGATCACTTTACTTCTACCAACAAGCGATTTTCAGAAAATGCATGGTAAACTGTTCAAACAAATGTTATTCGATAGACTCTTAACTATCTTGAGCGTTATTATAGGTTTCCTTAAGTAAAAGTACATATCTATTACCTTGTCACGGAAAACAGCTTTTTCCTAAGAGAAAAATTCTGCTTCTTCTTTTGGCTGGCTCCTGACCGAAACTGAATGACTTCTGTAAAGCCAAATACAAGTTTTTGGATTAGTCATCACATGATCAACTTCCGCTCTACCAAAGTTTATCAGTTCACAAGCCATCGCAAGACCGCAATTAGAATAAGGATGTCTACATCAATTGTAATAATAATTCAAAGGGAAATAACGCTCATCTTAACGATGCACAAGTTTACCTCAACAAATTAGTCTTTTAAGTAAAAGTAAGCGGCAAAACGACTGTTAGTAAGATAATTATATTTGATACTTAGCGGATTTTTTAAAAGACCGTATTTGGTAAATGATTCCTGGAAACGCTGCAGACTTTATTAACTCGAATTGAAAAACGCAAAAGTGTGCCATAATATAAAACGCAGTTGTGTTGGCTCACAACTGACTTCTGAAATCACCTTTCAAAGCAGAAAATCAAGAATCATTATGATGTATTGAAGATAAAAGGGTAATTCTATCAAGAACACAGAACAATGATGCTTTCACGAGCCAGACCTGTTGAGTCACATAAGATAAACATAGCGAGCGTAACACAGTGTTAATTATTGATGCCTCCTGAATCCAGTGACACCAAGCTTCTGAGTGCAATTTTCGGCCCTTAAATCCCGTTTACTATCTGTATCAAGTTCAACTTTTCTGTAAAAAGAAAGGAAAAAAAACAGTTTCATAAGTATTTAACATAGATATTTCTCTTAGAGGTGGTTATTAACAAACGTCAGTAACCTTTCTCGTTGCGCTGTCAAAACATCTTGCGACCAATTAGTGCAATTAGTGGTTATTGCTGATGCTTTCTTCACAATCGATCACTTTTGACATTCGGTTGCGAAAAACAAACTTCATTCTTTGATCACTCCCAAAAATAACCGTATTAAATGATCGTTATTTTCTGATATCGTTCCGGGAACTAAACCGTTGACTGGAGCATGGGTCGTCATGTGAGAAACAAAATCCGGAATTTCTGAGAATAAATATTGATCTCATTTGCAGTGACATCGAGCGTGACATCTTTAAAGAGCAGGCTTTGAGGAAATTCCCGGAAATTGCAATTGTTAGTGGCGACCTCGCAGAGCCAGGATTCACTTCGAAGTAAGATATTGATACGTAAGAACGTAGTTTTCCCGTGTGGGTTCTCTGCAGCTAAAAGGTCTGGCATCGGACCTCCAGCGGGATTCGATTTTCCTTCTGTGTCGTGTTCCTGAGATGAATTTAACTTTGAATCAGCAGAAAGATACATGTTTAGGCACATCTTCGATTCCCTGTGGAAAATATTTGAATCTCTGTAAAAAAACGCCAGACTTAGTACTTTACTTTGCACGAGGAAGCCAAAACGTTTGTCGAATAGAAAATATACATAGGAAATGGTACTATTTGCGAAACATGTGTTTGTTATTCTACTCAGGCGATGGAGTCATTCGACGAGAAGTTTCGCAATCGTCCAGTTGACACCTAGGCTAATTCTGAGAATAGTGGTGTTAGTCACGAGACTACAAACCTCCCATTGAGTACTTTTAAGTTGGAAGATTTTTTTTTTATTATTTTTTCGAATGAACACAGTACTAAGAAGAGGTGGAGTTTTATCTTGTGCGCGTTTAGTTTGTTTATTTCCGAAATTGCCTCCTAATTCATGCCGATGCACAATCTTTTCTCAATTTAAATGGCTTTGATACAGTCCGTTTAATTTGATTTTTCGATCAACTTCCTCCAGGCTAAAATGAAGATCAAACAATTGTTAGGACTCATACTATTATGGTGCATCGATGAGTGTTACGGCCAAGGTATCACTATAGTCAACAACTGTACTTGTAAGACATTCGATGGAGGAATCTACAGCTTGATGCCGCTGCGTAGAACAGACGGAAAACCAAGGTACACAAGGTTGTCAGTACAATCGACAGTTCACAAGATAATTTTTGCAATCAACTGAGTTGATAATGTATATTTTGGCCACCGTAAAGAGTTTCTAAAGCTGACGCCTCGAGCGTTAGCCCCTCGTCATTCGCTCTGAGGTCAAAAACCCCAATATCAGCTTTAGAAACTCTCTACGGTGGCCCAAATATACATGATTAACTCAGTTGATAAAACCAGATTACTTCGTAATTCTTAAGTTGATGATAACATGTTTGTATCAAGTAGATATTTGACCTAGGATTTTCTCAGTTTTGCCCATGTATTTGAGAGATAACTCATATTTACTGAGTGTACTGACATTTCGAAAGGATTACGTGACTCAGACGGTTTCTCTCAATGTTTTTAAAACAGGTTTTTGATTGCTGGCAAGAAATATCCTGGTTGGCGATACACGTACAATCCTTGTACGCCTGTAGATGTGGGAGAACATGATCCTGATGCCGATCCTCACAAAATATGTCGAGATGTTGCTGTGAGTTTATCCTGTGACTTTTGACTGATTTTTTCTTAAAACTGAAACGCTTCCGTTACTGCTGTTATCACAATTGCTTTTGTTTGCTTTTTTCTGTTACTGATAAAAATTTGTTGTTTTAATGATGTTTGTTGTTTCTGTCGTTTAGTGAAGTTTTCTGTTGTTTTAACTGTAGTACTCTCTTCATCTTTTCTTTTATACCTCCTTGCAGACCAATAATTGTTCATTTCAATATGACATAGTTACTTTGGGAAAGGTTTTTAACGATTTCTTTTTTGATATCTGAATTATTTGATGAGAATGGTAACTTTATGCTCATTGTTGTTCTTAGCAATAAATTGTCGTTTCGATCCCTCCAGATTTGCAAATACGCCGAGATTGAAAAACCGCGCGAGTACTTTGAGGTTGGTTTGCAAAAAGACATCATGTGTGACATAAACCAAGAAGGACAGATAGAGCTGGTGTATAAGACCAAGTAAGCTGTATTCTGATTCCTTGCCATGTAACTAATTACTAGTAGGAAAGATTTCCTTCTATTAAGCTTGTTTGTTGACTGAAAGGCAAAGGATTGCTGATATCACTTTCGCATCTTGATCCGGAATCCATAAGCATGTCATTACGATGCATCGATCGAGATTATAATAAATTAAACATTTTTCTATGCGCAAACTGGTGACAGCAACCGCTTCTCTGAATTTCTTTGGGCGAAGAAATAGAATTTAAACCTTCGAGAAATCTTACGTGTGCCAGGACTAAAAGAAATTAAGAGCGAATTTTTTTTATCACCGCGTGGGAGGTGGCACATGATCGGAAAAATCACTATCCTCATATTTCGCTCAGAGATACCTTAGGGTAAGTCTATAAACGTGGTATAATTTTTTTGTTCAGAGCTGTTTTTATTTTCTAGAAAATCACCAAACACTGTATCGAGCCCCAACCGCCATAAAATGACCGAAATGAAGTCGACGAGTAGGGCAACAAAACCTTTATTTCTCAAAAGCGCAAAAGAAAGCAAGTCTTTCTGAATTTTACCTATTTGTATACGAGGTATTAAAAAATGATTTGAATCTAATAACGGGCTTGTTGACATAACTATGAATTATTGGCGAATATTTGAAAATAGCCAAAATTTGATTGATTAAAAATTACATTTTGGAGCAGTTTTTCAATAAAAATTTTTCCTACCTGGTATAACTCGGAATCACTTGAGATGAGCATTTTTCCAAAGTGGAAAGAATGTTCTTTCCATGGATATAAAAATTAATTTGGGGCTCTTAATTACTGCGAAGAAGTAGCCCGGTCTATTTCGTGCAAATCGCAATGCCGCCATGTAAACAACCGCAGATAATCCAATTAGGCTTTTTATTATCGAAGCTATAATTCCAACAAAATCTTATCGCTTTGACCTATACTAGATTGTAAACTGGATTTCTTAGGCTCACCTGGCGAAAAACACCTTTCTAAGATTGGTTCCTTGCCTCAATCTTGTTATAAAGAGACTTGACAACAGCTTCGATAGTACAGCACTACAGGCGGTGTATACCAAATCACAGTGAAAACATCTCACGAAGGTTCCTGCCGGAAACGTCGCATTACTGGACAGTTATAACCATATTTCAGCTTGGAACACTCACATTTTACAAGTCTTCCTTTCACAATAAGAATGGAAGTTTTTTTTTATAGAACGAGCCAGAGCATCCTGACAGATGAAATGAATCATTGACGTTCGTTTTTTGCGATGGTGTCACGCAATAACATGTCACTCGAAAGGAGGCTCGGTTACCAATACGCTCTTATTTTGTTTCCTTCTTATCCCCTAATTTTTTATTTCCGGGAAAAAGTTTTAAATCCAGAATTTAAAATTACCGTTGTTTGCATTTTTTAAGCGCGATACCACTCATGCGTTACCCTAGACTGCTAAATGAATTAGGTATATGTTACTACAGCATAGAGGAAATTTCACTGCATTAATTTTTAACGACGTAAAAAAATGTGTTATCCTATTTTGTAAATTGTGACGGCTTGCAGGGTAGACAGAGATATCGAGATACCGAAATATTGGAAGGCAACGTGAATATCGATGCCCGTGCTAAAATGAGATCGACTTCCGATTCAACATCATTCATGCCCACAGCCTGTTTGTGTGCTGAGATGTCTTTCTCACATAAGCGCAGAGGGACTATAAGAGAAGCAGGAGTGGAAAAATTAAATTGGCAGTAGCTTTCTAAAATACTCAGTGCTATAAAAATAAATTAGATTAGGCACAGTTTCAAACCTTATAATGAGCGTCGCGCCATAAATTTTCCAAAGCAAACTAAAATGGTGTTTTCGTTTGGCCGCCGATTTTTTTAAGAGGTGAGCGTACCAAATGGAAATCAATTGCTCCTTTCAAAGATTAGTTGGGGGATGCTGCTCCCAAGATAAGCGAAGTCGAGTTGCAGGAAAAGCTTCTCTTATAGTCCCTCTGCGCTTATGTGAGAAAGACATCTCAGCACACAAACAGGCTGTGGGCGTGAATGATGTTGAATCGGAAGTCGATCTCATTTTAGCACGGGCATCGATATTCACGTTGCCTTCCAATATTTCGGTATCTCGATATCTCCGTTCATCTTAAGCTGCCTTACGTGAGCAAGATCGAAGCCCTTTGTTTTAGCTGTACCTGTCAGCAGTGACAAACTACATGTAGCTTGAATATTGGTTTCATTGACCAGGAAAACACCTAAAGTATATGACACTGTATTCTTTTCCTTTCCTTACTTTCTTTCTTTCTTTCTTTCTTTCTTTCTTTTTTTGCTTTATAAAACCCATTCAGTTAGCTGGTATGGAGGAACTTCCTGATTTCTTAAATCTCCGAAGGTACGCCGCCTCTGTCTTGTCGAGAATTCGGGATCTCAAAGAATGGCCGATTAATTGTTTGATTAAGGGACGGGAAACAACTTTTTTCCGAGTTCGAGTTGAGAAAACTGTCAAGTTTCTAGCGATGGCCATTATCATCGTAGCAATCAAGGTACAAAATCGAAAGGTTTAAATTGATGAGCACGCTATCGTAAGGAAAATTAAAAAAAAACAACAACAACAACAAAAACAAAAAACAGAGATTGTGTAAGTCCAAAGCTTTAAAAAATGTGATTGTAATGACCTACAGTCAGGCGATATCAAATGACACGTAATGTCTCGCGGCCTGATACAAGCGGCCGACTTTGTGACTCGAAGATTTACGTTTTTAGTGAAGTTTAACGTTCAAAGTGCTTAGATAAAGCACGAAATTGTTAGTCTGTTGTTCTGTTTACATAGTCGGTAGAATTTTTCCAGTGTCATTAGAAAAGAACGCCTCACCGTGGAACCTGTCTGCCTGCCACTGAAGGTCATGGTAGACCTTATCGATCCACTAGGGACACGTAGGTGATGTATATAATCACGGAGCACTAGACAATTAACTTCCAACTAGTTGTTTTAGTTAACTGGGAAGTTCGTCATTTGAGAGGTTACGCATGACGTTTGTTTTTCCCGCGAACGTCAAAAATTCAATTTCTGTCGTCTGTCTCTAGGCGTGTGTACACGGAATTAAGTAGGTTTGATTTATTTTATTTTATTTTTTGTGCAGGATTTTTTTAAGAATTCCATAAATAGGTAACAAAATGAAAGGCAAGCTTGCGTTTGCCGTTTGCCGTTAAACGTCATGCTTAAAGCGCCTATTGATAAATAGAATCTTTGCAAGCGCGTAGTCGTGGAAATAGAGTCGATAACAACGCATGTATAGTCAGTACCAGGGGGTGACTAAATTTACGAAAACGTCAAAAAGTAGTTTTTCAGAATGGCACTGATTCAAAACACTCAAAAGAGATCTACTACGTTTTTTAAGTGAATTCGCGCAGGTTTTTGTTTAAAACATAACACTGACTAAGAAATAAATATTAGTTGGCCCTGCACTCGGTACAGCGATGTCTGCAGACGAATGCCTGTCTGGGTGTCCTGTGCACGTTTAGCGTGATTGCGTGACAAACATGAGTGATGACACACGACTTCGTTGGTGAACATCGTTGTGCCATTTGGGGAGCCAAACGTTTCTTAACTGAAACTGTAAGCAATCAAAGCATCTTGGTTTATCGTGCTAAAAAGACTTTTGTGTATACTGGAGTTGTATGGAAGCAGAATATAGAGTTGCGATGGTTTGCGATGATTTATGAACAGCTCCGAGTATTGTAAATGGTCAAGCCGGACGTTGTAAACACTTTTCAAGTGAACATGGCGATTTGAAACAAAAATAATGGAAACATCACTCCTTAATCACTGGTTCCAGAAGGTAAGGGTAACATATTGAGTTTCTGATAAAGCACAGCTCAAAGCGGTAAGATTTTGAAGAAATTATGGCTTCGATAATAAAAGAATAATTGGATTATCTGCGGTTGTTTACACGGCGGCGTTGCGATTTGCACGAAATAGATCGGGCTATTTCTTCGCAGAAATTAAGAGCCCCAAATTAATTTTTATATCCTTGAAAAGAACATCGTTTCCAATTTTCAGAAATGCTCATCTCAAGTGATTCCGAGTTATACTGAGTAGGAAAAATTTTTAGTGAAAAACTGCTCCAAAATGAAAATTTTAATCAATCAAATTTTGGCGATTTTCAAATATTCGCCAATAATTCATAGTTATGTCAATAATCCCGTTATTAGATTCAAATCATTTGTTAATACCTCGTATACAAATAGATAATATTCGGAAAGACTTGCTTTCTTTTGCGCTTTTGAAGAATAACGTTTTTGTTGCCCTACTCGTCGGCTTCATTTGGGCCACTGTTATGGCGGTTGGGGCTCGATATAGTGTTTGGTGATTTTCTAGAAAATAAAAACAGTTCTGAACAAAAAAATTATACCACGTTTATAGACTTACCCTAAGGTATCTTTGAGCGAAGTATGAAGGTAGGGCTTTTTCTAGGCATGTGCCACATTTTTTTGATTTCACGCGGTCTCCAGAAAAATTCTCTCTTAATCGGATATTTTCGGATCAACCAAAGATGTGCATGCGAGAAAAAAAATTACATTTACTGTCAATTCACTTGAATGTGACCTGTCAACTTAGAATAACTTTTGCTAGGGCTCGTTACATTTATATGGATAGACTTGATCCAATTTGCTTTCCCAAACATATTTACGGTAATTAGGCAACAAATATCTATGTCTCTTAAAGCTGACTCTGAGTCAAAATTTTGAACCTGACAAAATCCTCTGCTTTAAAGCGATCCTAGTATCGACAATCCACATTCCAGAGTGGTGTTCCTGTGCGATGAGTCAGCTACAGAGCCAGATTTTGAAACCGTGGATGAAGACAACTATGTCAGTATACCTATGTCGTAAGATCAGTTGCTTTTTGATCTTTTGATCGCAGTTGAGCAAGTTTGATTCCCGACGTGATACATTCGTGGGTTTCTAGAATGTTTGGTTTTAAACTTTGAGGACTCTAATGGGTAAACTAATCAGAACTGGCTGAAGTGGGGGAAGTTTCTAAAGAAACTGTGGTGCTGCGTCGGTGGGAGAGTGTAACAGGGTAATTTAGTATTAACGTTAATTAGCCACCGTAACTAACAAAGCTAATGTTTCGAGCGTTAGCCCTTAGTCATTCACTCTGACGTAGGGATAACGCTAAAAACGTCAGCTTTGTAACTCTTTACGGTGGTCAATTTATGTTATCAACTCAGTTGACAAAACTAAATTAACGAGAACTGGTTCTCCTCGGGCTGAGTAAAAGGACTACATTTACGATAGCGGGGTTTGCAATCTAAAAAAAACCTTCAAAATTTGAACTCAACAAAACTTACAAAGGGATTTTAATTCTATTCTACACCATCCCATTCCATATACCACAAAACATTTAAACTTTTTTTTTTTTTACTTCCCGTGAACAGATTTTTTCCATTAAACATTACTGCGCCTGTCGAAACCGCTGCCCGGCTTTGTATAAGTCAACATCGGTTTCTTCTTCTGGCTCAATGGGAGCAGAAGTTCAGTTGAAGACTTCCACAACAGATCATAAGAACGGTAAAGCATTTGCATCTGTTAGAATTAATCATAAAGGAAAAAATCCTGTTTACAGGTGAAATAGTAAGTGATTAATTTCAGAGTACACAGATCAAACTTGACGTAATATAAGCGATCGATTTCATTTAAAAAGAAGCCGTTGTCGAAGACAACACGAAGAATAGTATTAGATATGCTCCAAGCTGTGTCAAGTTGTTTCTCTTGTCTCGGGACGCCCTCGTTATTTTGGTGTTTCACCTGAGGTAGTTATCCGTTAGAGCGTTCACTTTCCGCTGCCTTCCAAGAAATTTTACGTACATTAATCCGTACCTTCTTTGTCTGGTAGGGACAGGAACCACTTTGGCCGTGATGGGAGTTGCGATAGGAGCGATTGCCGCAGCTTTAATCGGAGTAGTTGTGTGGCGAAAATTTCAAGCCCGCGGGGAAAGTCAAGAAGCACAGCAACTTATGGATTCTTGTAAAATTTAGCTGTTAAGAAATTTCATTTTAAAAGCCATAATACCATCACATTTTTCCATTTATTCTTTAGAAGTATGTCTAAGAAACTTTCCTCTTCACAGAGGTGTGAGCATTACCGCTACGCAAATAAAGCGTAAAGATTACAGATTGAGATCCTGACAAGAAGTAAAAAGCGTAAAACTTGCACGTTTATTATCATTGTTACACAGGGTGATCTTTGCTTACACCAGTGTTCCTTGATAGATAAAGTAACAAATGCATCAAATATTAAAAACAACCTTAATTTGCTCAGACCAATACAAGGATAAGATAAATGATATCCATTAATGGTAGCTACAGTAACTTCTTAGTAATCTACAAGAATAAGCATTAAATTGGAAAAAAAAGCGTCTTCCTTCCCCTTATAGAATTGGTTTGGTAATCCGCAATGACCTTCTTTTATTTTTCACCTTCAATTCAACCAAATAGGTGTAATATGGCCGACATAAAATTGCTATTTTTTGTCCATTGACATCTTAATGTTATAGGTTATGAGTCTGCAAAAATACTCGTTTACTTAAGTCACATTAACATGTGCAAAGAGCCCCGCAAATTTACTTCTTGTGCTCAGCTCTCCTAAGGATTTCGATTAAAGTACAAAAAATCATCTTATGGAACTCCTTCGATTACGATAATCAATCGGGGTACTTCGTGTCAAGATTGCATCAGATGAGCAGAAAGTGCCAAATCATTTCATAATTGTTAATAGAAACTTAAATTTGCTGTTACTCGACTTACATAAGCATGTATGCACACTAGAAGGTTGTAGGCATTTACTGTTACTGCCGCTCCAGGTTCTGTCACTTTATCATATTGTTTATTACTTCAATTCTTGGCCGATTCAGTGCGTTATTCAGCAGGGGCCGTTGTTCATTGTTGTCGTTATTACCTCTTCCTCTAAAGCAATGAGAAAGGAGGGCAAGAAAAGTAACGGTCCCAGCACGAGCAATCACTACAGTAGCATCCATATCCGTGTTCGATGGTCCTAAAAAACCGGACAAACACAAACCTCTCTAAGTAACTCTGTCTTATTAGAAAGAAGAGACTCATCAGCTACATTAAGGAATAAGATGTGTTCAATCATGAGATAATACCATCCCTTTCAAAAATAATACATCTATGTCAGACAGACAAAAAGTCAAAAAATATCTCTGGCATAGTTCAACCTACTAGTTGGAGTTGTAGATGGAACTTTTTCCTCTTTATTAAGGGCACAAACATTCTTACATGCGCATCTGTGACCCAAAGAAAAGATCTAAAGATAAGAGAAAAGAGAACGAAAAGTATGCAAACGGTCATATATGTCACTGAGGTTTCGGAGATGAAAAAAGATGCCAAAATCGAGTCGTAGTGTTATGCAATCGAGATGGGATATATGCACAACCATCGTCAATGAATTTCATTTATATTATAAGCAACCTTAGCAAAAATTAAAGGTTTGCTTAACAAGCGAACATCGATCAGACAACACTGTGACATGAAAGCCTTATGAGCAGCCTTAAAGCGGTGCTCTATATTATAAAAAAAAAACCATAACAACCAATGTTACAAATACGACAACTCTTACCGTATAAGACTTCAAGGACTGAGTAAGTTTCCGAAAGGGTGAGTTATTCCCCTATTTATGCAGACACGTCGTGGTAAAAAGTTTAGATTTTGAACGAAGTTAGCGCCCGAATATTGTTAAAGACTGCTGAAAGCCTACAGGATCATACTACCACTCATACCCATGTGGCAAGTTTGCTCGAAAATGTTACTGCTTTTGCTGTAATTTTTTTCTTTGGCTTATCACGTAGTCTATTAAAAAGCTTTTTTTAACCAACTCAAAAATTGTATAATCCTTTAACTGAAGAGCGATAAATGTGACTCCCGAAGGTTTTAAATAATATCAAGTTAAACGGTAATGAATAAATTTTGATGATAAACTTAAGCCTTTTTGAAATTTTGCTTCAATAACACCCTTCTTAGGTAAAATGAAACCGCTCTTATAAGCCATGCATTGTTTCCGCATACTTCCTTTGAAATTATGAATGTTACTTCTGGAAGAAAAATACATTCCCAAAGTCATGGCAAATTATGATTACCGATTATTTATTTCGTGGGACCTGTACTTACCCAATTAGCATCTTCTTTTTTAACTCTAAGCTTTCCCTTAGTTCTGTTTTTGTTGCAGAATAGTCTAACGGTTGTTTTAAGACCCACGAAACTAAAACAAACGGTTATAAGATCTGAAGATTTAGTGATATTTATACATTAATACACACACACACATACACGCATATATACCCAGTGAGTTGAATGGCCTTTTTTTTTTGCAAGCCAAGTCACGCCTAAACGGTGTATTACGTAACTGAAGTGAAATAGGCTATTTTTTATCTATATTCTTTGTTTATCCTACATTCTTTGTTTATCCTACATTCTTTGTTTATCCTACATTCTTTGTTTATCCTACATTCTTTGTTTATCCTACATTCTTTTTTTATCCTACATTCTTTGTTTATCCTACATTCTTTGTTTATCCTACATTCTTTGTTTATCCTACATTCTTTGTTTATCCTACATTCTTTTTTTATCCTACATTCTTTGTTTATCCTACATTCTTTGTTTATCCTACATTCTTTGTTTATCCTACATTCTTTTTTTTATCCTTGTTTATTCTTTTTTGTTTATCCTACATTCTTTTTTTATCCTACATTCTTTGTTTATCCTACATTCTTTGTTTATCCTACATTCTTTGTTTATCCTACATTCTTTGTTTATCCTACATTCTTTGTTTATCCTACATTCTTTGTTTATCCTACATTCTTTGTTTATCCTACATTCTTTGTTTATCCTACATTCTTTGTTTATCCTACATTCTTTGTTTATCCTACATTCTTTGTTTATCCTACATTCTTTGTTTATCCTACATTCTTTGTTTATCCTACATTCTTTGTTTATCCTACATTCTTTGTTTATCCTACATTCTTTGTTTATCCTTCATTCTTTGTTTATCCTACATTCTTTGTTTATCCTACATTCCTTGCTTATCCTAAATTCTTTGTTTTCTGAGTCAACTTTGAACGCTGAGAAAAACTTTAAAGTAGTTTTAAGCTTGTCTGAAACGCTTCAAGAATCATTTTCCATCGGAGATCAATATGTAACGTAATTCCCAGACACTCAACACAATTAGGACCTTGGCGCTAAATGAGGGGAAACACAGCTTCAGGCAAAATTGTAATGACGGACAAACAATATCTAAAAAAATATTAAAAGCAAATTTTAGTAAGATTGAAACGCTTTTTAATGTCTCAAACACCACGATTTGGGATATTGAAAATAATACTTGTAATCTTGAGAGTTTATGGCCATCAACTGGTAAGAAAAACCTTAAAGTAGAAATCAATGTTTAACTCAAATCTTTTTAGCTACAAGTTCGAAAGCAAAATTCGCAGGAAACACAATTTGTTCAGTGAGAAAACCTACTCTAATCTTACATATTCGCAGCAACGAAGAACTTTGGATACGTGCTGTGCAAATTTCACCGCTTAATTCTTTTTTCCTTTTTTTTTTTTTTTTGCCCAACCTTTGACATACGATGAGCAATTGAATAAAAAAAGTGTTCTGTACAGAACTGATCAACCTACCGTTCTTCTGGAGAGTACTCCAAACGTAAAGGATTAAAATAACACTCTGGTTTTCCCTTTCCAAGTGCTTCGTTAGAGAAATCATTCAGATCACTCAGATAGGGAACCCATTTACAAAGCTGAAACGAAAAATAACAATGTGTTTTTTAATCAGTTTTTACATCATAAAAAACCATTACGTTTTGGTAGGAAACCAAAGTAACACTTTGGCGCACTCGTGAACATATTATGTTGAATAGATTTAGAAGATTTATTGATTGCGTGAAAGGCAAATAATTCTGTAATTCCAAGAATAGAATAAAGAATAAAGCCTCTCAAATGGCTCTGCCATATTAAACAATCGGTCCCACATCTTAGGCAGGATTCATGCTCTCCCCGGACAACTAAGGTCGTAGTAACGTTAAGGAAATCCCAACATCAATGCTTCCCGCGCCTAGCACATCTAAGATTATAAAAAATAGGGTAGGGGGGGAGGGGCGGGTATCAATTTGGCGCTTTTTATTTGAGAATCAGGAGGTTCATATCAAAAAGCCTCAATTTCATCCTTGGTCCTAAATGTACAATCTTGGATGAAATGTCCAGATTTCATGCAAACAACGAGAAGCTGTTCGAACTTACGGCTGCTTTCGATGACCGATTACAGGCACCATTCAATCTGAGCCACCTGCACGGGTGATAGCTGTACGTAAAATTTTTGTACTTTACACCTTTTACAATGAAGTCGCTGGGGAAATATTTCAAGAAATATTATATGAGGAGGCATTGAATTGCGAAGTGACGAATATACAACACAGTGGATATCAGATCGCCGAATTACCCGCTTAAATAATCATCTCATGTAAGGTATGACTAGGAGCCTGTTTACATGGAGGTGGGGGGCCTTAGGTTGGTGAAGTACCCTGCTTGTCCATAAAATCTCTTATTTTATCTTGATCACGTTAACATGATAGATACGACCCGCCTAGGCGAACCAAACAAAGCAATTTAGTATTATCAACTCTGTCAGTTGATAACGTAAATTGGCCACCGTAAAGAATTTCAAAGCTGACGTTTCAAGCGTTAGCCCATTGGTCTGACGAAGGGCTAATGCTCGAAACGTCAACTTTGAAACTCTTTACGGTGGCCAATATACGTTATCAACTCAGTTTAAAATACTAAATTACCCTGTTATACGCCCCCACCAACGCAGCACCACAGTTTCTTTAGAACCTTACCCCCTTTATTTCTGTGCAAACAAAACCTATAAACTAGTGGCGAAATGATACGCAACGTGACTGTTTCAGAACTGTACGTGACACGATTCTACACTGAATAATTTTACTCTGTTTCCTCTTGAACGACTTTTCAGCACGCCACCTGTTATTTTGCCTTCACTGTCTTAGTCTTCTTTACCTCTGCTGCTACTTTCATTTGACGAAGGAGAACGCATAGTAAGTAGTTCCAAGGGTTTTTATGAGATTGGCAGGCAAGTATCAAATTCTAAGCTTTCGTCGCCATCTTGGACCGACTTCAGAATAGGCCAGGCCCGACTATGTTCGGCAAATTTTAAGCAATGTTTTGCGTTCGGAGCACCTTTTTGTGGTTCTAGAAACCTCACTCAATCTTCGCTATTCAGAGCAATTTTTGAGCAAAATATGGGTCTAGAGCACATCAAGCACGCAAAAAGTCAATAATTTCAGAAAATCTTCTGGCAGCTTATGTAAATATCTAGAATTTTTATCAACCTTTTGAAACATAACCTGCTACTTGAAAACGTTTCGCAGATTTATTTCAATCCTTATCTAGTCATATAACGGATTATCGGCTAAAATGACGTTCGGCATCGTCAAATAAACCACGCTTTTTGTTCTCTCAGACTTATTAGGTATTCATAAATTTCTTCCATATTTGCGAGCAACTCTTTTAAAACTAAGTTTCAAGCTTTTCTTCTTCACCGATCTTACCAACTATTGTGAATAACGATAAATAAAAATTTTAATCAACGTTTATTTTCAAAAATATTAAAACATTTATGTAACAACTTTTGAAATTTAGGTAGCAATTTTTTCGATTTTTCGGCAATTTTTTAGCAACTTATTTCAGCGAGAATCTTTCCTTCATTATCGAGCACAATCAGGACAGCCCTAGCCTCGATCCCGCCTTAGGAAGGAAGGAATGCCGTGTGTCGAAACTGTAGAAAAAACAGAAACGGACAGAATTCATGATGCGAAGCACCCATTTGCAGGCAAAACGGGTCAAAAGTAGCAAACAATATTTTTCGTCCTGTCGTTTTTTCGTGGAACAAAGAAACAAATCTGAGTCCCCATGAGGAATCGAACTTCACTCTTAAGCTCTACCACCGAGCCACAGACTCCCCCATGAGCAAAGCCATTACAAATTCCAAATGTGACAGTCGTCCCACGCACAGTAAGAATTAGCAATGTCAATAGCGACACATTTGTTAGCAGAATAAGTTATATGGTAACTTCTGAGCTCGTTAAAGGAATAGCGAAAGATGTTTTTTCGTCTTTGAGTCTCCATGAGAAGTTATAGGTAACGCATCATAATGAAAATGATAATGACCGAAGATCATTTGGATGGAACATGTTGTAATAGATAATTTAGTCAGGGAAAGAAACAGCTATAAATGCGATGATCTTCCGAGCCTACTGATTGTTTACGAGTTCTCTAGGCGAAAAAGTTGAGCTCTAAATTCAGAGACGGTCAATTGCGTTATATATCGTTGAACAAGTACCGGTAGACCCAACGATACAAAAGGATGCCGGGCTTAAAAGAGACTCTTCTAACAAAAACTCTAGATGATGAGAAAATAAGAATCGAACACATTTCATTATCCTAGGAGGCTGACCTGTATTAAACTTATACTTAGTTCTGTTTACCTTTCATCTTTCAGTGAACTGAGATTATATATATTTCCTTCGTGATCTTTCCAAACGCAGGTATTCTTGCCTGATATAGAGCACCTATGCTCTTTGGACCGTGCCACGGCGCAGTTTGCTTTAGGATTTTGATATTGAATAGTCATAAGAAAAAACGCAGTGCTCAGAAGACTCCTGGACCAATTCAACAACAAAAACATGCTTCAGCAATATCTAAAAAAGACCGAGAGAGGGTCATAGATTAGTAGTTTGTGTTAATAAAGCATTAAGGTCCTCTCGCTACCTACCTTTTTGTAAGCAAACTTTTGATGTTAAAGCGAAACAAATCGACGTCACGAAGCGCAAACATCATTGATTTTCATGAGAGACTGTTAATGAACTCTGGATCAAATTAAGAAATAAACCAAAACAGACATTTGGGGGAAACCCCGAGTAACCTCGTGATACTCATGTGATTCAAAACCAACATGGGCAAGAGATTTGGAGATTGGCTTTAGCATGAATAAACTACTGTAATTGAATTTCAAAAGTGACTATTGATGAACCCCAGGTCAAATTAAGAAATAAACCAAAACAGACATTTCGGGGAAACCCCGTGTAACCTCGTGATACTCATATGATTCAACACCAACATGGGCAAGAAATTTGGAGGTTGGCTTTAACATGAATAAACTACTGTAAATGATTTTCATGAGTGACTATTGATGAACCTCGGGTCAAATTAAGAAATAAACCAAAACAGACATTTCGGGGAAACCCCGTGTAACCTCATGATACTCATGTGATTCAACACAAACATGGTCGTGACTTTGACACGAATAAACTATTTAATCGAGAAACTGTTGCAAACCTACGAGCCTTCGGTTTCTTTTGCTTACTGAAAGAAGGAAGGAATGCTTGAAGAATCTCTCGGTTGAATTCATTCAATATGATATGTCGGCAGAGGAGACAATATTGCGCCGTTTAGGATAGTTCCCTTTGTCAAATATGCAATCACATTAAATTTTAAGAAAGCTTTGACACTCACCGGCGGCTAATTTAAGTTCCGGAGGGTAAAAAAGCTATGTTTTGCCCCTCCAGAGTCGTTTTTAGTATTGAGGGGGCTATCAGTTCAAGAACTAAAAGGACATGTCCGCTGCGTGAAAAAATCTAAAATTGGCAATTTTTACTTAGAGTGGGATTGAGTGGTCTGGAATGAAACTCGAACTTATGAGCAGTAAAGCTTCATGACGGACTTAGACCACTACTAATTCATTTGCACAAAGTGTACAGTAAAATTCAAAGTATGTATGTCACATTCAAAGTATGTATGTCACTTAACAAAAAGTAAATGCCAGATATCTTTTTAATGTTATTTGTGACTTTTAGACTAATTATCTCTCTGGTGCGTACAGAAATTAATAAATTGAAATTACACGTATGCATTTGCTCTTCCAAAAGTTATAGTCAAGGCTCCAATAGCCATCTGAACCCAATGTCATTCAGCTGGATCTTTTAGTTCCTTTTAGTTCCTTGCACCAAATAAGCTCCTTTCTTGGTACTGAGACTAAATTGATAAGGCATTAACTTAATGTACAGTTATGGTTTTAATTTCTTTTCAATTACTAATAAAATTCAGATCCTCCATTAAAAATTTTATCTTCATTAACCTTAGCTAGATTTTCTCCCGCACACTCGTTTGTGTGTTAATCGCTCACCTTCCGAACAATGCCTACTTTTCCTAGTTCAGAGTCCCAAATAAATCACAGTTCATGCATTAATTACTTACAATTGAAAGATTACTTAAAAGCCAACTTGACGAGCAATAGTAACATAACTTTCAATAGCAACGCATTGTAAACACTAGAACTTCATAATCTAACTACACTCCTCCTTAATGAAATTATTTGGCCTTTGAAGCAATGTCATTAAATGCGTAGTAAATATCACCCCTTCTGCTATGGATCAAAAGTGATTGGTTACGAAATTTGAGCTCCATCCAAAATACTAGTGACCATGTAAAAAAAGGTGGCATCCGTAGAATTCCACTAAGTAAAAGCTTATTAATGGCGGATATCCCTATCTCGCAAATAATAGACTTTGATTTTTAGCAAGTTCTTTCAAGGGGACGATAATTTGGTGCTCCTATTGAGGAATTCATCCTATGGGACAGCTTAACAATAGATACTCAGATATTAAGCTTCTAGGATTATCGCATATGCTTCGTAGGGGCGTAGTGAGGGTTAACCTCCCTTACAAATCTTGGTTCTTGAGGCAAATTGCAAATTATACAGGCACCTTCCCGGTCAGGACCGTCTTGTCGCAGTCGTCGCCTATCTTCATCTTCTTGAGCTTTGTTCAGTGTTGCGGTTAATCATTTTCCACCTTTTCCAGTATTTCTTCAGAGTTGCCAATGAGCCAACTAGTCAAAGGTCCCCAGCGATTGGAACCACGATTTCCAAAGAAATATATGCTGGCTGCACACATAAGCAAGGAACCAGGAGACGTTATTTTGAAGTGGTAGAGGTGTTTCATGAACGTAAATATCATCGGAAGAGGAGAAGGGGCGTTAGCGGAGTAATTAAGCCCCCATCCATCAATTTTAAAAATATCATTTAATTTGATACTATACGATTTATGTGGTGGTATTGTCAAGACAGTGCCAGTTCTTTCACGCTAATTAATTTATTAATTCTTTACTTTGTATTGATTTCTCAACTTTTTCATCCCTTTTCCCGTAAAAACGAAGGTCCTGTTTGACTGTTTGAGGAAACTTCAATAAGATTCTAATGCTTCTAATGCTTACTGATCTAACCTATGTTACGGTATGATTCCACCGACCGAAAGAACAATTTTACAAACTCGGACAGCTACTTTCTTAAACGCCGAGTAATATTCTTATTTAGGAGCGACTTAAGCTCCAATAGACAATACAATAATTATCTTTAAAAGACTTACTAAGGTACCGCTAAGGAACCGCCTCCAATGTGCTTTTCGTATAAGTTTCCTCATTATAAATTCAGCGCGGAGGATGGAGTACTACATGTTTACACCTTAAGTCACCTCTAAGAAAAAGAGGTGTCGAACGTGTTAAAATAAGACCGCCAAAAGGAATAAGAAATGATCAACTGTGTTATTTTTACGGAATGGCTTATGGTAATATTTTATTAAAAAAACACCTATTATGAAAATTCTTGTTAGATGCCAATTTCGTCTTTTAACAATATTTATCTTACAGTTGTTATTCATAAGCTTACTAATTTCTGATCCATGGACGGCAATCCTGGTTCCTAATAACATGAAAACTATATGTTTTGCTACTCAAATTGGTTGTGGTATTGTTCGTCTATAAGATTTTGGCCATCGTCGTTGTTCCTATAATGTCTCCTCAAATGGCGCCAAACAAACCATAGGACGATCATGAGGGTGAGAGGACCAACAGTGGCAACAACTGGAACTATGACTTTTTTCGAATTGGCTGCGTCTAAATAAAGGAAATGTCGAGATGGACATGAACTTTTATTATAAAGCGCTGCTTTTTCTTTGGACCAAAATTCTGAAAAGCCCACATGAAGATTTGCAGGAATTTTCTTTATCAGACAACTAATTTTCGAATTCTGACATATTCTTTGTTTGTTTATTTGTTTGTTTGTTTGCTTTTTCCGTTTTGGGTTCGACACACTTTTTGAGTAAACAGTTAAGGCGTTCTAAAAATTTCCAACTTCGAGAATAGGATTGAAATGCCTAGTCAGTGAGGATTAATCAATGGTGCTCGATAAAATCATGTGAAGAGAATTCGCCGTTTCAATCAGCGTGTCTATGAAGTCATTGTACATAATTAAACTTACAATGAGGATTCGGAGATTTTGTTGGACAACCATTCCCACATGCGCATAGGTGGGTCAACTGAAATATCTGAAGGTTTGAAAAAGATAAGAATATGATTTCCTGATTAATGCACTTATAAAGGAATCTTGCCTTTAAAATGCATATTTTACATGTTTTAAATAGCGATAAAGGATTGATAGGCGTTCTTCATAAACCACAGTAATTGTTGTTGAAGCGGTTACTTGCATTGTGGCATGTGACACAGCTTTAATGACAGCTTATCGAGAGATAACAACAACTGCTTGATATGGGCTCTACTTAACAATTATGCTTAATGGTAATATACTCTTTATATTCATAAATCAGTATTGGTATTACTAAGTATGATGAAGTAAATCACGGAACAGTCGGGAATATTTTGGAGTTTTCTAGAACATTACTCAACAAGTGTAAATCTGATTTTCATAACCAAAAAAAAAGGGATAGTAAGCCAGTGCAGATTTCAAAGTATTTACTAAAGAATTAACGTGTCAGCGAATGCTTAGACAAACTTTACGTACCCCGTTATCTTCGTCAAGTACTTCAAATTCGGCATCATCTTTGCTTTTCTTGTTTTCAGCACACTTCAGTGTGACAGTGGCTGATTTATGTGGGAAGTCTCTACAAAATTGCGAATTTAGTATTAATATGAAATATAATAGCATGACAGGTAGCTTACATGAAGACCTGCGTTTTATCGAAACGTAGCTTGAAATCGTATTTTATCACACTAGGGTAAAAACCCCGCGATGCAAAGGCACATTTAATAAGGAATAGTCTCCGTAACGCTATCAACACTTTTCTCTTTTTTTTTCCTTTTTATCATCAAACGAAAACGAAGCTCTTATTTCAACGACTCTTTAATCCAATCAGCCTGTTATCACGATTAACGATCCTTGATGGACTTTCAGTTAAATTTTTCAACTATAAAATTTTATCCGTTGACTCTTTACCGAGACTTATACACCAAAGACGGCTTTTTGGTCGCTTTGTTCATGTGACATCTTGCCCTTCCCTGCATTCCAATTGTTTGATATGAAGCTGGTGGAGTCCACCAGCAAATCTGAAACAGTCTGAGACAAAGATCAAGAAGACATAACATGCATCATTATGTTTCATTTTGAAGAGCAAATATGGGCCCTCTACGAGGAGCATTCTCCTAGATAGACTGGCCTGTTATGCCGCGCCCTTTCAAATGCCTTTTGCAACTTCTCATCTACAGTGACGCTTACAGAAAAAATAAAAGTCCTTTGATAAACCGAATTTAAACATTTTGCATGAAGACGACACGGTGATTAAGTAGATGACGGCTCAGTGTAGTTGTCGCTACACTGAAAAAAACACAAATTGGGCAATCTAAAATTCTACATGTTTACGTGTTCTAGACTACAAACAGAATTCTTTGATTAGTTGAGCTATTTTCCTACCGCCACATCCCGCTGACAGTTGCCATCCATTGGTCCTAGCTTGAAGGGAGAACAAGGATTGTAGGAGTATCGATGGCCATGGTATTTGATGCTCTCTGCCTTAAGACTAAAACAGAAATTCAAATAAATACTACGTGTCTTCAAATTGTTTTCCCTTTAAAAAAAATACAAAAAAAAAAAGAAAGAACTCACGTCTACAGACAACTCTTGGAAAAAGACAGAGGGACAAAAGAAAGTTGGCAACATAGACAACAAATTTCAATTTCAATTAAATATGCCTAGGATAGGACTTTGCAAACCTTGCAGTCTCGTCAATATTTTGTAATGTCTTCAGATTGTAAATCCTTCCAAGATCGTCATAACAAGCACAGTTGTTTGGAAACGGAATGGACACCGAAGCTTTCTCTATAAATTTTCCTTGAACTCTTCTGAAGTGTAAGGAAATGTACACAAAGGGAACCCAGCAATAAATCCTCTTCCACATTTTTGGCATCAACATGGGACTGCTTCTTCTGAAAAACAATTCGATGAATTGTTGTAAAGAAAGGGTAAAATGGTTTCCTAAAAACAGTAAAACTACCAATGAGTTATTCATTAAACATCGAATAAGGTCCCTACTACCATAGTGGCAACGTTTAACGTATGAAATGGATATAAGATTAAAGGGTCTCCTGGAGAGAGACATTTTTCAACTCATCAAGACAATTCAATTTGTTGAATGAGCAAATGTGATCAGTTTGGATCACAAATATATACAATTTAGATCTCTTCAATTCACAATTAACAGAGAAAAGCAAAGATAACCAACTTCGATTACACTTTTATTTTCACGTGCAAACGTATAACGCATGATAAACATCGGTTATTAGTTGAAGGATACAGCAATAATTTTTAAGTTGGACTTGTAGCTAAAAGGGGTGTATCATGAAATAAAAATAAAATTATCCTAACTCCCGCCCAAATTTTGTAATCTCGCTTTCAATGTATTGTGAACGTGCAGTTTGAATCACCTTCGTGTGTCGGCTGTTTGTCTCGGCATAACTGCTACGAACCGAACATAACGACCCAACGTAAAGTCATCAACGTTTCTAAATACAATATCTATTTATTGAGTTCCTCTTTTTTTTGAGACTTTGTCTGCGAATACGCATTAATGTTTGTGCATTGTGAGAGCAAAGAGTTTTCCTTTGTGACAGAGGCGCTACTTTCCAAATGTTTTCTCTAGACTGAAAGTCAAATTAATAGATAAAGCATTTGTAATTATGTGGTCTGTGATATCAAAAGAACAGCTTACAAAATGTGTTATGGATTAATTGGCCTGATAATTCTATTTTTCTGTGTCACCTTGTCTTTCACTTCTTAAGCCCAAGGGCAAATTAAGGAATTACCTACAGAATTCTCTGTTAACATTGATTTAAATGGTAATTATTAAACGAAGTTGTTCGCCAGTCATATATTTTGGTATCGTTGCTTCTTGTATGCCCTAGAAGACAGAGATATTCAACACTGTAATTTACTGGAGTCTTTAGACAAGTTAGAACACAATGGGACACAGAGTAAATTAAGCAATAACTGCTCCGATGCCGCGTGTGACAAATTTACACTCATCTTTTACATCTCCCTCTTCGACTTGGACTGGCTCTGTTAGATTTCCCTTTGCCCCAGAGTCTTCGTGTTCGATAGCGTGATCATTTTGTTCTCGATCGTTTATAAGTGCAGTATTCTCTGATGCGCCTCTTTCCCTAACTCCGCCCCCCAGGTTATCGTAGTCATGGCGACAGGTGCGGCATGATAACCTGATGAACCCACGCCACCATAAAAATAGAAAAAGGAACAAGACTGAAAGAGCTACTGCTGCAATTGGTAATAAGGTTTCCAGTTCCCTATCTGGAAAAAAAACAGATTTTGTTTAGTTAATTAATAAACTGTTATTAATGATTAATAAGGATAAACAGTGTTATCTTTCTACCTCTTTCCTTCGATTCATAGAAATTGCTATTTCAAAACATTTGTTCCATCGAGCGCAGCTAAATGAGGCCCTTACATATAATGATTTAAGTATTTTCGTTGAAAGAGAAGAGGTTCCAAACATGATTGTAACTTTAAGTAAGCTTTCCAACCAATTTAGAATCTCGACAGCTTTAGTTGACCCAGTTTTGCGAAGACAGTCCCCCCTACTGATCTCTTGATTGCCTCTAAGGTGTGTCGGAATTGAAATGTCTTTGCTTTGTTGAACGATAACGACAAACAAAAGAACAACACAGAAGCTTTAGGCTTGACCTGAGACAAACATCTTACCTAGGGGCGCGGCTGTGGGTCCTGGTTTAGTTGAGGTAGGAGCTGATCAATAAGGATAAACAGTGTTATCTTTCTACCTCTTTCCTTCGATTCATAGAAATTGCTATTTCAAAACATTTGTTCCATCGAGCGCAGCTAAATGAGGCCCTTACATATAATGATTTAAGTATTTTCGTTGAAAGAGAAGAGGTTCCAAACATGATTGTAACTTTAAGTAAGCTTTCCAACCAATTTAGAATCTCGACAGCTTTAGTTGACCCAGTTTTGCGAAGACAGTCCCCCCTACTGATCTCTTGATTGCCTCTAAGGTGTGTCGGAATTGAAATGTCTTTGCTTTGTTGAACGATAACGACAAACAAAAGAACAACACAGAAGCTTTAGGCTTGACCTGAGACAAACATCTTACCTAGGGGCGCGGCTGTGGGTCCTGGTTTAGTTGAGGTAGGAGCTAAACACCGATTAGGACATCCACAGGGAGTTTTGAGGATAAATATCGATCAAAGAAAGATATAGGACGAAACTATTGAAATTCAACGAACTCAACGTTATACATTTGTCCAAAGTAATTTTGATTCGTGATATCCATATCTTTTAGATCTCAAAAAAATTTCTTTTTATTTGTCTAGTTTTTAATGTTTTAATGTCTTTGTTTTTGTGTTGTGTCAGGGCTCCATTTAAACTAGCTCTCCTAAATTGGATGTTCCTGGATAAATAATTTGATTTTTTGATTAGAACAAGAAGGCTCGTGTTCTCCTTATTGATTACAAAACCCGATGAGCTTTTCTTCATTATAATGCATATATATATGTGTGTGTGTGTGTGTGTGTGTGTGTGTGTGTGTGTGTGTGTGTGTGTGTGTGTACCATATTTATTGAACTGGTGCTAATTGGTACAAGTTTAGCGGAAGGATCACTACTGCACTCGATTCTGACCGTGGAACCACCTCCTGTAAAAGGCCCTGATCTAGAAAACGGAACAAATAATACCTTGTCAGCACCGCATGTATTAAAGGCTTCTTTCTGTCCAAAACGTATAGACGTTTAGAGGTAAATATGGACGAAGCTGGTTTACAAACAAAGTTTACCCAAAGAAGAAACAAAGAAACAATTTGCTGCAAACAATTTGAATACACGGCAGGAAAAGAAAGGCTGCAAAACGTGTCCGCAAGGACATGCATATGCTTCTTCCCGCAAATCAATTCAACCTCATAGACGTGATTCTGAAGGTAACGTTTGGTCTACTTCGGAAAGTACTGTTAACTCACGTTACAGCATATTTCAGTGCAAACGGGTAATCATCAGTGGCTTCGCACTTAACGTCTTTCTGTTCACCAATGTCTCTGTATACATGTGGTGTTCCCGTTGTGTCGTATTGACACAGCTGCATATGAAGAAAAGAGAGTAGATCTTGATAACCTCTAAGTCCATTAGGTCAGGTTTTTGTCGTTGACATATCTACCTTAATCCGGTACATATGACTTTATGTTCTGTTCAAAAGTCTGATAGTGGTTACAATTGCTTCATCCCAATGTAATTTATGCGAAATTCGTATATAGTTTGTTTTAATCATAGTGATTAAAATGCAGATTCTAATTTCATGGAGAGATAAGAGACTTTTTGGGGAGTAGTCCTAATGTGGAACCGAACCAATGGCTACCATCCTGATGAGGAGACGCTGGAGGTGGATTGGCCATGTCACCCGCCAAGAAGCTTCCATTGCAAAAACTGCTATGCATTGGACGCCAGAAGGGAACGCAAAGCGGGTTCGCCCCAAGATCACATGGCGACGGACAGTTGAGAAGGAAATAAAGAAGATGGGGAAGACCTGGGAGGGCATCAAGTTCATAGCAAGGGATCGCCAGATGTGGAGGGAACACGTCGCTGCCCTACATGCCTGTTAGGCGTAGAGGACATGAGAGAGAGAGAGAGAGAGAGAGTCCTAATAGCGAAAGAAGTGGAATCTGTAATGTGATATCTAGGTCTCATAAAAATAACGAACGAACCCAACTTGATTTTCCGTAATCCTTGTTTTTTGCTTACTAAACAGTCACGAGTCATCTCCCTTATAAGAATGAAAGACTTCACAAATACTTTAAGCTAAACTGAGGATATTTACGCGTAAATTAAGCGCAAGACGAAAATACTATACTTACTGCAACGTTCTTGCAACTTTCCTTATCCGGTTTCCTTGGAGAGATCAAATTGTCCGGCCCGCAAGGAAAGAAGGTATAGGTGTACTTATCTGGTGCATCGTTATAAATAATTCTTTCAAAAGAAAATACACACAAGATTAAATAATTAAGGCATATTGCTATAAAATTAATCGATTAAAATGGTGCATCAATGACCTCATGTTGTCCAAACCTATAAACCCTTCATCAGCCAAAACTCACACGAAGTAAAATATCAACAATCTATGGTTCCTTTTCAGGTAAGATCTTTTACTACTTTTAGATACATAGATTTTTTTGTTTACCAAGAAATACTCCATTCAGGTTAAGGTCTTTAACCCTTGAACTCCCATGAGTGAACTAAATTCCCCACAATAAATAAAATGAGTGAACTGAATTTCTCCTTACAATTTCTAAACAACATCAAGCAGAAGAGTGACGAGAACAAAGAAAAATATCAATTAGGGGATTATAAGTTGATCCAATACGAAATTCTCCAAAATAACATCATAAGAATAATACCGCAGACAGTGAGAAGAATTGCCAATGAGATCTTGGGAGTGAAAGGGTTAAAGGGTGACTCCACTGGTACAACTGGTTGATATTGAACCGATGACAAAGAGAAGATTTGAAAAATTGGCATCCATTGCAATTTCCTTTTGCTTTCTTACTCTATACTTTATTGCAATATTATCATAACCCCTTATCTCCTAAATGTGAGAACCTTCTTCTTTTCAGCTGGCATGCATGCAGATTTACAAAGTTGTAAGTTCCTAGTTTTCTCTAAAATGGCCATTTACCTCCTTCGTAGCATGGTAAATAAACTGTAAGTTGGATGGCCTTTTCGAGCGCAAGTACAATTATCTGGCAATGCATCCCAAACATAACAGAAACATCCTTTCGACATCAAAAAAAAGAAAACGTGTACCACCACTGGTACAGATACCAAGATGGGTGGAGTCATCTTATCCTGAGAGCAAGAGGAAAGACAATAAAAAAACCAAAACATTGTACACGGCAAGTGACTGACACGTTTTAAAATCCACAACATTACAATTAGTAAAAACACCAAAATTTGAGGTCGTAGTAGTCAACCATAATATTAACCCTTTAATTCCCAGGGGTGATTAACACGTAACTTCTGGCTGATCCATACATTACCCAGCCAAAAGATAATGAGAATACTCATACTTATTAGTAAGAGGTTGTTCATTTGA